TGTATAGATTCGGCCTACATGCCTGATGTTTTGAAGAGAATATCACTTGCTCGGCAAATTGATAAAATCCAGCGAAAAATATCCCAGGTGAGATACATTTTACTTTGGAAAGGTAAAATGTGATTTTTTTTATTGTTGTTTAGGTTCAACTGTTCTCCTCAACAGTTACCATTAAAAAAATATTCTTCGTAGTGGGGAGGATTTACTCATCACATATCTCCCTCTGGCCATGAGATTTAAAGTTTTAAGCTCTCATACAGATATAGAGCTCACTTTCAACTGCAGCAGCATGTTCTATAATGTAGATAATGTTCGGTAAATTTTTAAAGAACCAATTCTATTGACATTACCATTGTAGTTAACCTGTTGTTGGCAGATTGTTATAATATAGCTAATTTTATTTTTCACTAAAATTCAGTTATTTTAGCCTAAAAAAGATAAGCATTTCATAAGCTAACCAAAAGTTGAACTGACAGCAAAAGAGCTGAATTATACTTATTTTCTAGTCATTTTAGCTCCATTTGATTTTGGATGAATTTGCTATAATTTTTATTTCTTTTATTTCATTGTTTTGATTTAGCTTGGATATTATTTTGCTTAAATTTAAATATCTGATTGAGTTTGATTTAATTTCATACATGATTTGGTTGAATTCAAATTATCTGGGTTTATTATCCTAATACTATTTTCTATAAATAATGATTGATGGCTTGCATTAATTATGGAGTAGTCATGATTAATTGATTGCAAATTATTTGTAAAGCCGGTTGAGTGTTTTCTTTTTATTGAAGTTGAATATGCTTATTGTTCCTAATTGTGCACAGATTCAATTTTTCCTTGATTAAAATTCTTCAATTTATTACCAGCTTAAATCTAACAATTCCTAACCCGCATAAAATCAAGTGTAAAATTCTAAACTCCTATATTTTGCCTTGTATGAAACCCGCGCAAGTTGGTTTGCTTGTCTGTTATGATAGAACCATCCACAGCTTGCTGCCAATCCCCCTAACCTCGGGACCTCCTCGCCTGACTTCCTCTCGTTATAGTTGATTTTAGATATTCCAAGCACTGACCTCGTTAAAAAAGTAATTGCAAAGCTTTTGCAACTAAGTTCTTGTTTGAAGATGAACATTCACCTCTCATTTTGATGGCTTCATGTTATCATTAGCAAATGGCATGACCATATTCTAAATGGATGTTGATTTAATTCTTTCAAATCTCCTCACTTATACACATATGGTGATTGTAATGCTACTCTCAATATTGGATTCATGGATCATGCCATTTTTATAACGAATTGATTATGCTCATCATTGTTATTCTAAATCTCATATATCATTTTCTTTTTATCATAAATATGACCAACTTTCTATTTATCATCATTATTAGAAGCTTTCCTCTTTTTAGAACTCTTTAACATTCAGTCCCATGCAATTCACCAAGTAGGTCCCATATCTTCTGTTGATCTAACATAGATTTGAACCTTCTCTGGTTAAACCTAAGAATTTATGATCCTTCCTTTTATAATAATAATCCTGGTTCCATCTCATATGATGATTTTTGGAACGAGCCATTATTTTCATCTGCTCACAATTCATATAGATACAATATATTCTTTGCCTTGGTGGGTTTGAGTTGTTATTTCGAAGTACTCATAAAAATGTTGCTCATTACTTGGAAACATTTATTTTTCTCCCTAAATTTTAAAAACACGCATGCTCTCATCATTTCTTACTGTTCCGTGATTTTTTTTTGCGTCCAGGTGAGTGCCAAAAAAAGTTGGTTTGAACGAAATGCTGTTAATGTAGAATTGGCAGTGGATGAAACGGACAGTGAGGAAGAAAGGGGGATGGTCTATAAACAAAAGAAAACCAGTTTGCTCCATTTGAAGAAGTTACAGCAGGTATCTCTCATGAATCTGACTAGCTAAGATATTTATTTACATTTGTCAATGACAAAATAGCAAGTAGTATTTTGCTTTCAGAATTTTCACTAATTTATTTTAGTGGCCTATAATGTTGAATTCTATGGTTCTTGAATTGTAGGGATTGATTGCTCTGTTGTCAAGACCAGTGCAACCGAAGGCATTTTCACACCGATTTTTGGCTGGGGTATGTTTTCTCTCCATTTTACTGGCATGCAATTTTATTTACACTAATATTGAATGGAAATTTTATTCTTTGATTTTTTTTTTAAGTTATGTTGTTACATGTTAGCCTTTGCGCTTTGCTTTGTTTACATTCCTTTGTTTAAATTTTTTCACTTTTGATCATGGTGGTTTTGGTCGCTGCTCTTTAATGCTGTGTAGTAGATTTCATATTTGCTCTCTTTGAAAGAAAGAAATAACATATTATGGAACTAAATGTCATGATCCACCCCTCAAGCTTGGAATACCAAGGCAAGAGTAGATAATTGAACAAAAATTTTGCATTACATTTAAAACATTTTTCAAACACGAGATCTTCCAATTTCAAATTCGATAACTAAATGATAAAATTTTATTTATAAACATCTTATAATGTACATCATTTTTTTCCTCTAAAATAAGGCATTTTCAAAATAGAAACTGATATGTAAACTTACTACAATATGTATCTTCGATTGTTATTCTTTTATCATTGATAAACTCTTTTTGTTTCACCCATTTAAGCTAAGGGATTTTTTTTTATTAAAAAAAGTAATTATCAATTAATGAATGAGTTAAACAACTCACTGGTTGTTTAAAAATTTTGAATTATAGTCATTCAAAATATTGAAGATAACATACTTGAGGATTTTTGTACATAATTTATAAAGCATTCCTTTATCATGAATACCAAAAAAATGTATTTGTAACTACTTTAATAGAAGCACAGAGAAACTATCATTTGTTAAATCTCTTTTTCATTTTAATGCTTTATTTTTTCTTATGCTATTGCACATTCATCTCAATATTCTTTTTCCAAATCTATTTCTTGAGTGTAGTTATTTATTGATTTATTTAGTGCGGGTACAAGCATCTCCAACCAGTTTGTAAGTGTTTTGGATTTTATCTTTTAAAATACATATACATTCGTTTCTATATATCATTTTTTGTGCATTTTTCTCATGATACATTCTTTTAACTATTAATTTTTGTATTTATTTTACGTATTAATCATTGAAATTTGAAATACGAAAAGTACTTAGTAGCAGTCATATTTATAGGGGGATTTCATGCATGAGTAAGTGAAAAGCAATCTTGCACTAATAAGAATATTACTCAAGCATATAAAATTCAATAATAAGAAATGTTAAAATTTGAAGAGAAAAAATTGTTACTGTAAAATAGAAATATAAGTACCTACCCTATTTATAAACTAGCTTGCTATTTATTCTTTGTATGTTGCTTTACTTACTATGATGCCTGTATAATCAAATTTCATATATATAAATATTTAAGATGTCAACTCATTCTTTTAAATTTTTACAAGTTCACATTTAAATCATACAACATTATATTTAATTATATAGAAAAAAATATTTTCTTATCTAATTATATATTTGAAATTTTATCTATTTAAATAGCTATTATCATTTTTAATATTTATTTTTATTTAAGCACAAAAGTCATTATTAATTGTTGAAATCCCTAATTTATTCAAAATTATACCACTTATTTTACGTGGCGCACAACTCAGATCTTCATGATGGTTACTTTGTATTGTTTAGAGTCATGATTTTATTTTTCCTAAAGCATATTATTTTTTTTTCATTTTTTTAAATTTTTTTTAATTTTTATTTCCTACCTCAATGGCTTAAATAGTGGAGACAAATACAGAAGCATGAGGCAGGATGTAAGCTTTGTCGGGTGAGGCATAAGCTCCTTAAACTTAAATTTTAAATTTTTATAAATAAATTTCCTACCTCAATGGCTTAAATAGTGGAGACAAAGACAGAAGCATGAGGCAGGATGTAAGCTTTGTCCGGTGAGGCATAAGCTCCTTAAACTTAAATTTTAATTTTTTATAAATGAAAACTATGTTTTAAAAATAAAAATTAGTAAAAAAATTTTAAAATTCAAAATAAATTCATATTTAATTTCAAAATCTAATAACAAACATAAAACAACTGTTAGAAATTTGATAGCTATGTGTCTGGTTGAGCGAGCTATACAAAAGTTTACCATATAAACATCAAAATATGATTAGCAAGTAGTATTCAATTCCTTAAGATATCAAAAGCCTAAAAATGCATATCACTCTATCGATAAAAAATTTAAAAATATATTAAATATCTTATAGATTTAACCCTCATAACAAGAGCCTTTAGAGATCCCTTGAGCGTTGTTGGCAGAAAGTCGAGATATTTAATTTTTTTCAATGAAAAAATAATATAGAGACGATTGCAAGAATGTTGTACTTAAGATGAGAGGTGTAGGTTGTTGGGTCGATAAAGATGACATAATACCAATAAAATAGCAAGGGAGCAAATTTGATGACGAAGATTAATTTGGTGAGTGATTATAGGGAACAAAAACAATCAAATGAAATTATGAGGGAGTGAGTATGATTGCTATGCAAAATTAGTTGTTTAGCGAGTCAATGAGGGAGCAATTCAATGAGATAGTAGTAGTGAGAAATGCGGTTGACGAGAAAGCAATGAGTGAATGAAATGTTGCTCAAGTTACTTTATTTTTTTTTATTGGCTTTAGAAATTCCTTTTTGATTTTTTTATTAATAGATTAATTTAAAAATAATTGTTTATTTGAATAGAAAATGACTTGGGGTTTTCTAATCATTAAATTTAAGCTCATTTAAACTATAGCTTTTGTGGTAAAAGACATGCCTCAAATGCACACGACTCCAGAAATCAAGTAATTTTTTTGGTTGGCTTGGGAAAGTTTGGCTTGCCTAGCTTTGGGGTGTGCTCCAAAATCATCTTTTAAAATGATGTGTCCTATTTTAGCTAACTTAATGAGCCATAGTGTGGTTCGGATACCAATTTTATCTTGGATTGTTAAGGCTCGAGGTTTTCTAATACTACTTACAATGTGATGCAATTTGATTACATTAAAAATTGTAATATATAAGATACTAATAAATAAAGAAAAACCGGTGTTTAATGTAAAGATAATAAATATGTTCTATTCATCATAAAAGCTAATTTAATAATTGCCCAAAATTTGTAAAAAAATTCAGTGTCCATCACTTAGTGAATTTAATCACGCATGCAAACAATCGTTTTAATAAATTAAAATAAGCACACATATAGGCATCATTCAAAAGGAACGAACTTGTCCTTATGCTTGCATATACATAGCCATCAAAACTTTTGAAGCACTTGAATAATACACATTAAAAAAAACATACAAGTGGGAAAATTATTATAATATTCGGAATCCAATGAATTTAGCATGGCTCAAAGGTTTTATTTATAGGATTTAAAGGAGTATTACAATTTGTGAATTTAGCATGGCTCAAGGGAAAATTATTATAATATTACAATTTGTAGAAATCTACTAAAAAATGGGTTTCAATACATCTAACATGATTTCTAATATCATAATTTTCTTTTTATAAATCTTATTTCTAGAATTGAATCCCGATTCAAGATGAAAATATGAAATTTGTGTTCAAAATATTAAGAGATGAAGGCGTGATGTGATACTATAGTTGCAATAATGCTTATCACGATAATTTAAAGCGTGAACATAGGAAGGCAACAGCAATGTCAAGGTGGAAGGGCAAGCAACATAGATGAAAAGTGGATCGGTGGTAAACAATATAACTCAGCATACTTGAAAAGCTGGATGACCACAAAGCAAGTAAATTCTTCATTTGAGGTTTATATCAATCAATATTTAAAATTGTGCAAGTCAAGATAAAGAGGTAAAAATGATACATTAGAATCATAACTTTTATATATATATATATATATATGTATACATATATAATTTTATTGAAATTGAAAAGATACATAGAAGTTATATGAGAGGACTCAAAAAAATTGCCCCACCCATATGACAAATCAGACACTGACATCGTAAAAAGATGAAACATAGATAAAAAAAAAACAAAACTTGCATGAAATAAGCTGCTATGCACGAGCGAGCTTGGTCTTGCCTCTGCCTCTAGTTCTAGGAGCGGAGACAACTAACAATTTGTTGAGTGTCGTTCAATTACCCGAAGTTACTAGAGTATCATCCATTGAGTTCCCAAGCTGGAGTGTGTCTTCATTCTTCTTTTTCTTTCTAGATGTATAAACCTATCATTCCTCATCCGAGGACTTGCTCATCTGGTCAGCGTGGTCAACAGATTGTTGGGCATGTATAAGAGAATGAGCCCCTAGCTCCGGACTAGCAGTAACAACATTCCGATTCTGAAGAGATGACAAGCATGTCTCTTCAACACTTGATGCATCCTGGGGATGTGGAGCTTCAATACTATTCTGATTATCGAGCCCAAGTAAATCATCTGCTAATATATCAGTCGGAAGAATAGAGATAGTATTGTCTCCGGTAGTGGGAGGGGGAGGTGGCATCGTGTCGATCGGTGTTTCAATAGTCTGTGGAATGCACTTAGAAGCGAAGGAGGGACATGTATGAGGTGGGGCAGATCCATAAGCGTTTTTACTTGAAGGTTTTAAATTTGGATGCTACTGATACATTGAGAAGGAGAATGTCCAAACATACGGCAGTGGGTACAATAAAGTGGTATCTGTTCAAGTTCTGCTTGCTGCCAAAATCCCTGATGTTGTGTGTCAATTCATATTTCTCCCGGAAAAAGGTAAAATAATATCATTTTCTATCAAAATTCTGGCTTCTGAAAGCCGAGTTAGATTCACTGTAGGCGTGTCAGTTTTGAGGGGTTTACCGTACACCATCGCTAAAGTGAAGAGAAGCTCTTGATCAAAAAGGTAGATCTTCAAACCTGGAAAGCGCAGCCAAACAGGAATGGTAGGAGGTTCAGTACGAGGGTCAAAATCCACTGTCCATTTTAAAACCTTCATCACCTGGTTTTCTATTTGAAGAAGTGGAGATCGAATCAACAACAAATATTGAAAAAAACGCTAGGGTCCGCCATGGGGCGGAACCCTAGCAGAGCGGCAGGACGACATCTTTTGACGACTCATATATATATATATATATATA